TTGTTCTGTAACATAGGGAGTTAAACTGCATGAAGAACAAAGAGGACAAATGCAACGCATAGTGTTCAGTGAGAATATGTAATGGTACGAAGTGAAAGCAAACATGCTAAGCACTGTATATTCTAAAGTATAAATGCATTATTATGACTTGTATTATCCATTACCTACGTGTATCCCATTAATAAAGGATACAGAATGTTTTTGTTATTAAGTAGTAATGCTGCAAAGACAGGTAGCCCTTACACCACATAAGGTCAAGGTTAATACTGCCCACAGCATTATAATGACAGATTGGAAATAAAAACCTTAATGTATTTGTGATTAGCATATGTTTCTCTTGGCTGAAAGATTTAGGAGGTCCGGGGACCCTAAGTTCATAACCTTTGCATTTAAAAACAAATAAATAAAATGCTTTTAAATTGCTAGGTCTCAAAGCTATTTTTCTTGAGGAGCCCCATCTTTTGAGTAAAGAATTGTCTGAATGCTGTGTTCCGGTGATACATTATGGTACTCTATCACTGGGAACTCACCAGGCGGTGATATATTAGCACCACACATCAGCCTGCATTGCTTTGATGTATTAATCATCAGGATAATGTTGGCAAGCATTGTGCAAAAGCTGTATGTTTAAAAAGTGTTAAGATGAATTGAGTCCTTGCTTAAGACATGTGAAAAGAAGAAGAATAGCAGATTAGCAGAGAGACTCTGCAAGCCTCCCAAAGCTGTTAAATACTCCATAGTGCAAAGAGGTAGATGGAATTTCATCTTTCCATTCACTCCTGAAAGCAAGGCATATAGCACAGTTTTTTCCCTTTCTCAGGAAAAGCAAGTTGCATTAAGCCATATTTAGTGATGGCATGTTCTGTCATTTTAAAAGTATAGTTGGGCTGTCCCAGGGCACAGCTTGAGCAAGAGGTACCAGCTGAGCTTGCTTAAAACACTTTCTCAATATGATTTCTTCTTTCAGGAGTGATTTAGCAAGGAAATGTTTTCCCAAAACAGGCATGTCAAAGCTGGGAGCATCTAGAAAATGAATCTTTGTCTTTAGAAATTGTAGCTGAGCTACTGGTGCAATTTCAGTAGTTTTTTAGTTATTCCTTTCATGACTCGTAGAAGACAGAAATGGAAAAGACCCGTTGGATCATCCAGTCCATCTCCTTGCCAGAGCAGGATTGTTCCATACAGTAAAATTTCTAGTGTTGTTTCCACTCTAATTTAAGTGTTGCTTCCAATATTTCCCTGGGGAAATTTTTTCACAGGTTAAGAAATGTGTAGAAACCTATATTTCTAAACTTTATTTTAGTAAAACATTATCTAAATATAAACTAAAATTACACAGTAAAAAATCGATATAAGGTATTCCTGTGGCTCCTATTACCACAGTACCAGAGTACCTCACAATTTTTAATGTATTTATCTTCACAACACCCCTTGTGAGGTAGGGAAGTACTATTTTATCTCCATCTTATGGATGGGGAACCAAGGCACAGAAAGACTGTTGATCTCCTCTGGTATGGTATTTCCTTTATTCAAAATAGCTGCTTTTAAAACTTGATGCACAGATTTTAGAAAATGCTGCTGAGGTTCTGTGTTGTGGATGATATATATTTTCAAATTAAGATCTTAAAATGATGTCATCAGTGGTTATAGCTGCCACAAACAATCTGCTAAGGTCAAGGCCATGTAGGGACTTATCAGCATAAATAAAACACTTATCCACCTCGCAACAAGAAATGTTTTGGCTGTCTGGTAAACTGTACCCACCAATGCCAAGTGACAATACTGTCATGTGACTCATGCTTGATAATGATCTTGCACTGCAGACTGCTTAATAATTTTCATTATTTTTAATTAAAGTTGAAGAAGTGCAGACTCCAGCTCAAAATAAGGTTGGTTATGTTGCCGGAATCAGGTAATTACTTTAATTGATCACAAGATAGTTTCCTTGATCACCAATTAGACCAAATTACCGATCATGTTTCAAGACGTGAAGAAATGTCCAAACTGATTGTGTAATAGTGTTTTCATATCTAATCAAACGTAAAAATCTTTTCCTCCAGAGCCAATTGTATTTTGTAAAAGGAAGGTTATGGGCCTACAAACATAAAGGTGATCCATAAACAATAGAGTTCTAATTTATGTAATTAGAAAAGGATGTATTTAGGGGCTTAATGGAGATTGCACTGGTGAAATTACTCAGCAGAGCTGCTGCTCATTTTCTTAGTGGGAGATATGTGCTCTTTTGTGCATAATTAAAATAGGCTATAATCAAAACAGAAAAAGTAGTTTATTTTAGTAACGTGGAGCAGAGAAGATTGCTTTGGGTAAAGCAGGGTTATATGTGTGTGTATGTATGTACATACCCCTACGTGTATATAATTGCACACACACATGACGTATGTATAAAATCATAATTATGGGATCCTTTTAGCTCTGAAACCTCCAAAAGCCTCTGCTGTGGTAGTTATGTCCCACTGGAACGCTCTTACTACCTGTTCCCAGGATTGAGCTCATAGGAAAGGACAACAGGACATTCTCCATGGAGGGCCCAGTGTTTAGGAATTCATTCCCTCTTGTAGTTGATGAAAACCTGAGTTTGGCTATCTTCAGGATGAAGTGCAACTTTAAGATGACTTTCCATTTTTAGCTGTGGTGGTGGTGGGGGACATCTAGGTCAGCTAACTGCTGATTTCTGGTCAAGTCGGTGGTGCGGGGGAAGGCACAGGGAATGGTCTGGTAAAGTTTAATGGTCATATTTGGTCACCAATTAATTTGTTCTTTAATGTTTTTTCCATTTGAACTTAAGAGTGAGTGATGATGGTTATGCAATAAAATAAAAATATCCATGGAAAAATATATGTATGTACACGTGTGTGTGTGTGTGTCTGTACATAGATATAGATACTGGCAGTGCATATATGGATTTGGTCAGATTTTTCATGAATTCCCTCCCATTTTACCTGCACTGCCTGACGATAAAAAGGCAATCTAGTTTCAGATGCCTTTTAAACTACCCTTTGGAAGCAATTTTATGTATAATTTGGTATGGTCTTGTAAATAAAGATGTTAAGGCAGTGGGTATTTAAAAAAATATTTAAATAAAATGTAAATCTTAGAATTTTTAATAAAGCTGTATATTCCCTAATGTCTAGTGCTGAGTTTACTGCTTTATACTTTGAAGCATCTTGTTGCAATGCTTGAAATTTTTAAAACGTAATTGTTCACTCCAAGTAAAATTAAACCAAACTAGAGCTTCAAGGGAAGTTAGTGTTCCCAATTTTTTCGAATGTTCTTGGGTCAAAGAAAAAAGCTTTTTAATTGCTGACAGTTTGGTGGTTTCCAAATGACAAACCTCATTGGAATAATTTGCTCTGATTGTAACGTTTGCATTCATCTGACTGGCAAAGTGACTTACAAAGTCATACTTCATCCAGGCACTGATTCTTTTTCTTAAAGTGTTTGTAATTTGTGAGAGAAAAAAAGACTGAAACTATTATCAACCATTATGTTATTTATTGACCACATGTTTGTTTGAAATGGCCATTGCTTGATGGGCCATATACAGGCTAGTTTATAAATTAGTGCTAAAAATGATCTAAACAGGTAGGTCTATGTCAAGATACTAACTTATGGCAAGTATTTTAATATGAACCAGATTATGTACGTGGATAGGGGTTTTTTTGCTTTGCAGTTTTAATTTAGGCCCTGATCCTCCCGGATGTACTCCTACATCTGTGCAGAGCCCATTGACTTCCCTTGGTCTCTGGGCAGGCGTAGGGGCCTACCTACATGGGTCCTATCGTAGAGTGAGTCCTTGATTTGCATGGAGTTGTTTTTTTTTTTTTTTTTTTATAATGCAGAGATTTTCTGCAAATATTTTTGGCAAGGGCTTCCCACAACATTTTCTCCTTGAGCCTGTGATTAAATCCTTTATCATGGGGGAGTGTGAAGAGAAGAGGGTGGGGGACTGGGAAGTCTGTATTCTCTCATTTAAACCAAAACATTTTCTCATAAAGGAGCGAAGTGACCTCACGTGGCCAACCTCCCTCCTCCCTCCCTCCAAAACAAAACAAAACTGCTTACATTCAGGGAAAGTCACTGGAAATGAACTCTGTTCCTGAAAAATACACTGGGTATATCAGAGGTGGGCAAACTACGGCCCTCCATACAATTTACGAAATGTGATGCAGCCCTCAGGCCAAAAAGTTTTCCTACCCCGGTGTATATTGATAGTATAGCAGAGTGTTTAACTTGGAGGAAAGGTGGGGTGAAGATCTAGGGGCATAGGGGTATCTCCCTTGGGTGAATATTTAAAAATATCTGATACCTGTTGCACACCATAGGCAAAATAATTGTTCTTAATCGGTATCTTTGGATAAGTCATTTTGGATAGAACGATCGACCAGTATCCAAAGAGGGAGAGAACTCTATCAGCAGCAGGAAAATGACCACAATCCTTTTAGGTTGGTAGTAAATTTTTAACAAGGGGACCATGACTTGGAGCAGTATCCCACTGAGCAGAGGGGGTTGTAACCCATTGCAGGAAGAAGCCAGCTAATCAGAAAGCCATGATCTCTGGGAGTTAGGGTGACCAGATAGTAAGTGTGAAAAATGGGGATGGGGTGGGGGGTAATAGGAGCCCATATTACCCCCCCCCCCCAAAAATATCGGGACTGTCCCTATAAAATCGGGACGTTTGGTCACCCTACTGGGAGTTCATCCCTGGAGCATGTGCTGCAGAATGCCGCTTTAGTAAGGGAACAGTGATGATAGAATGGGGAGTAATCCAGGGAAGGTGGAATGCTCCAAAAGGTGATGTACTCAGAGTACTCAAAGGGATAGGGTACAAAAAAAATTATCTTTAGGTCCCAGTACACAAGGGCCATCCCTGTCATTACACATCACTGGGCTTTTGGAATATATCCTTGTAGATCCATAACACTAACCTTAACGCACGTTCCTAACAGATGAAATATTTCTCTGTATTCCTTTTATCCTAGGCTTTTGGATTTATGACACGAGTTGCTCTGCAAGCAGAAAAGATGAATCATCATCCCGAATGGTTTAATGTGTACAACAAGGTAATACATTGAATAACTTTTTAGGTACCTTTATGAACAATTTACTAGACCAGATCAGCATATAGAACATCCATTTCTGTCACTCCTTTTCACATTAGGAAGCTTCTGTACATCAAAAGAGGTAGTGACTTTACCTATCTCCTTCGTGGATTTTAAAAGAATATTTGCAAAGAAGATCCAGTCCTGCTGATGGGCAGAATAAATTAGCATTTTGTTCTTTTTTGTGTGTGTGGGTGTTTCTTTTATCTTAGACTAGGCTGATTTTCTTCCTGTTGTCATCATGGTAATGTGCTTAACATTTGACACACTGTGAAAGTGTTTAAACCTCAAATTGTTCCTACCTTTTAAACTTGTATATTAAATAGTGAAGAGATTGTCTATAGAGCCAGGACTCCATAGTTCTCTCAGATTTCTCACCACAGGCTGTGGGGCTTGGACACATCATGTAACCTCTTCAACCAAGATTTCCTAAAATCTAAGCCTAAAGTTAGGCCCCTAAATCCATGTTTAGGCCATCTAAATAAATGCTCTGATTTTTTCAAAGCTACTGAACACTCATCAGCTCCTTTTGATGCCTGTGGAAGATAATGGGAGTTCAGAACTTTGGAAGATCAAGCCACTTGTTCCGGTGCCGAAACAAGAGCCTGGAAAGCTAATTTAGGCCTGGTCTACACTGGGGGCGGGGGGATCAATCTAAGTTACGCAACTTCAGCTACATGAATAACGTAGCTGAAGTCAATGTACTTAGATCTACTTACCGTGGTGTCTTCACTGCGGTAAGTTGACGGCTGGCGCTCTCCCATCAACTCCGCCCGCGCCTCTCACCCTAGTGGAGTACCAGAGTCGACGGGAGAGTGCTCAATGGTCAATTTATCGCGACTAGACTAGACTAGACGCGATAAATCGACACCCGCTGGATCGATCACTGCCCGTCGATCCAGCGGGTAATGTAGACAAGCCCTTAGACTCATATTTTGAAAATCTTGACTCCGGTGTCTCAGTGTAGCTGCCTGTAAAGTCAGTTATAAAACGTATTTAATTCGTAGTGGTTTCATGAGAGCAAATATTAGTCAGCTGCATTGAGACCCTCCAATAAAAGGCAATACTTCAAGAGCCAATTATTACTATCATTTTATTTTCTAATAGTTCTCATTTTGTTCTATTAACTATTTTTTCTTTAGTCACTGATAAATATATACCATGCCTATCTAAAACAAAACAAGGGACAAGCAGAATGATGATGCATACACATAAAGCAATGTTTTTTATCTGACTGGCACAAAGTGCCATGTGTATTTTTTTCAAAATGGGGATTAATTGGCACTGAAACGGTCTAATTCTTTTTTTAAACAATAAGGCAAAATTAAATACATTCTAACTATTTAAAGAGAGACATTAAGTGATATTGGACAAAGTGCTTATCTCACACTCTGGAAGATTGTCTTGACTTCCCAGGGTGTTTAGATTTTCTTTTTTGCAAATCCCTGCTACACAGGAACAACTAACAAAATGTAGCACATGACTTTTCATCTGGGTAAGTCTAAACAAACTCATACAGGCAGCCTGTATCACAGCGACATGCACACCAGTCTGTTTATTTTTTCCTTTCAAAATTAATCTGCAAAGAGCTCACCAGTTTCTTCACCTTTTAAGATACTGATTTTTATGCTCCAGTCACTTTATTTGGTGTTTGCAACTTGGTCAATGACCTGAATTCTTCATGAAACCAATATGTGGAATTTAAATGTAAAGAATGAGTAATTTAATCGGATGCTGCCTCTTGGATGAAACCCAAGAACATGAAGCCAAAATTACTTTTTTACTCTGAAGTGCCTCTTTGGTTAGTCTCCAGATTCTGCTGAGCCTACTCACCTGGCAGCTGACTCCTATGATGTCTTACAATTTGAAAAAATAGTAAGATTCCTACTCTTCGTCTGCAGGCAGGATTTTTTTTTAAACCAATTCATTAAAGATCACCCTCCCCACAAAAAAATTCAAATTGAATTCTGATCAGTCTTATTGAAAGCTTGGAATGTAAATTGTAATCCACTTCCTTTCCTTTTGCTTACAGGTTCAGATAACTCTTATTTCCCATGACTGTGGAGGACTGACCCAAAGAGATGTGAAGCTGGCTCAATTTATTGACAAGGCTGCTGCTTCTGTGTAATAACTGAATGTTGAAAATAGCATTGCCTTCAGACCACTTTATATTTGAACTTTATCATTCAGTGAAGTGTTCTACATTCTAAATTGCTGCTGCCCCTTGTAGTGTAAAATGATTTGTAATAAAATTAGTTTAGCAGCAGCATTTAAAAAAAACAAAACTCATCAACCTTAGTCTGAGAACTGCCAATACCTCATACTTATCATTACTGGTCACACGTACAATACATCAGACAAAGCAACAAAGGTAATTTTGAACAATCCTTCCTTAGAAATTAACATAGACTTTTCACATTAAAAACCCAAACCAGAAATGTGATTCGCCATTATTCCACAATGGATAAAGGCCAGAATGACTGCTGGGATCCTTCCAGAGTGATAGGATTCTCCAAGCCCATAGCCTAGTAACCCTGCAGGGAGTAATAGCACTGGGGTACTGCCAAGTGAGCGTGCCTTATTCTTGATCCCAGCCAGCAGGACATTTTGGTAGCTTTCTTTCTCTGTACTCTTGTATGCAGACACCAATAGTGGTGAGGTGCTTTTCAGACCTGTCACCTTCCCAATAGCAGGATATTGAGGGCTTGATCCTGCAAGCTGCTGAGTACCCTGGCCTTTATCCGTCAAAGCACTTAAGGACATATTGAACTTTAAGCACATGAATAGTCCTGCTGAAGTCACTGGAAATACTCATGTACTTGGGTGAAGTGCTTAAATATTTTGATGGATTGGGGCCAGAGAACTCAGTATTTGAATCCTTATTTTGTGATAGCATTCTCATATTTTATTAAAGCCCATCTATAGGAAACGGGAGTGTGGACTAAGCTGGGTTTCCATCACACCCATAAGTGCTGCCAGCAGTAAAGGAAACAACGTTAGCAGGGTTCTCTTGATAATGTGGACAGGGCTAATCTAAAGTTATGGTGACCCGTTTTCTTATAGTTAAAAAAATTTGTTTGTAAATCTTGTTCTAAGAGCTACAGATCCTACAGATCCAGCTAGGTTTAAAATCCATTTCTCACAACATCCCAAAGGTCATAAAGACTATGGCCTTTATTCTCACTCAGACAAAATTCCCACTGATCGCAGTGGGAGTTCTGCTCATGTAAGTATGGAAAGAACCCTCTCTGCAGTACTAAGTGTACTCAACATGCACAATCAAGCCTTTCTAATAATTATGTTGCTGCTTAACTACCGGGTTAATTGGCATCTTACAAATGGCTAGATACATAGATAGAATGACACGAGAGGCACAATTACTAACTACAAAGAAACTAGATCTATATTGATTCATGTCATTGTCAAAGCCTTTTTGTATGTATTAGATATGTGCTCTCCCAATACTTTTTGGATGCAGTGCAGAAGCTGCCATCAATACATTTGTAAAATAATGAAGCACAAAATAATTAACATATGCCGTATCATGCACTTATGGACGACAGTTGTTGATTGGTAAGATTTTTGAACCGAGAAGTTTAAGTTAGCATCCATAGGCTACCAAGTTAAAACTAAAGGGAACCAGTCTAGGTTTTATGCTCTCAAATGCCCATCCCTTAAAATCTGTTTGTATTTGTATGAAACAAAGAATTTCTTTGACATGATTTTAAAGTGATCACTGCTGCAGGGAATTACTTGAAAAAATAACTGGTGTCTTGTGTTACCCACGGATAAATAAATCTGGTCCTGAAGGTTTGACAATGCCTCTCTAATAAGCTCTGAAAACTATTTTTGTTTTTTAGAAATGAGATATTATGGGAAAGCTTTAGATAAGAACAATAAAATCTAATTCCTCCTCTGTAATTTTGTTCCTGTATAATTATTATATACATGCACATATGTGACAAAGCTGTTTGGCATTCGCATAACTTATATCTAGTTACTGGGAGGTCTTGGGTTTAAAATATTAATATTTATTTACATTCTCTTAGAAAAAAATCCCCACAAATTCATTTAGAGCTCAGAGCAGTATTCTCTAGTGACGCCAGGCTGTGCAGTGTTGTTATTTTTTTGGTCTGCTGCTTGGTGATAGAGACTGAGCGAAATAAGTAGAAAAGGTGAGCAGCGTATTGGAAATACTCTTACTTCAGCATAGCTTTTGGGGATAATATTTGTTTGGCTTCTGCCTCCTGCTCCTCTCCTGGTTATTGCAGAGAGCTGTGAGGTGTCCTCTGTGCGTATTGCTGTGTAAACTTTATCTTGTAATGAAAATGGTAGTGAAAAACTGCTCATGTCTGTTCAAAGACTGTTGACTTCAGAGACCGAATCTAAGGGGAAAATCCTGGCTCCTTTGAAATCTGTGGGAGTTATGCCATTGGCTTCACCTTAGCCTCAGAGGCAATTTCCTTTCCTCCAGTTCCTCTTCAATATTTTTGCTAAACTGCTATTGGCTGCTTCTCTCTCCTGCACTCCATGATACCTGGAGCTCCTCGGCACAAAAAGCAATGATGTTCTCCTGGGCTTTGGTTTGCCTTGCAGATACTAGATCCTCCTTTCATTACCAAAGTCCAGTTTTTAGGTTTTGACAGAGTTCTTAGCATTTTTGAATTGCATCCAAACTGTGTTGAACCTTCATCACATCTCCCCCGCCCCCCAATCCTTAGCTTTTGTAATAAACTAGCTGCTTTCTGTGAAGCAAGTGGCAATGGAATCTTGGCACTCCACTAACTATGCTGAAAAACCTCTGGCTTCCCTTTCTGTATCTGGGAAAGATTAAGGAAGCATAAATCCGCCATCTAGCTCGAGTTCGCAGTTTGTGCATGTGTCCGTCTCTCTCAAAATACGTTCCTGTACATGAGTATATACGCTCTTGTTATACGTTGAGAGGATGTGTAGAGATATTGAGAAGTTGGGAGAATAATTGTTTCACTCAATATTGACCCCTCGGTTGGAGCTTAGCGACAGTGCATAGCAACTTTAACCAAGGAAGTGAACGGTGCCATGTCCAGTTGAAACTTTATGGGAAATTTATATAGGAAGAATTTAATTACAGGTATTGCGTTTTAGTCAGGACATTTGGGCTAATGCTTCTCTTGTGAAAAGTACCAGTGGGTTTTGGATGACCAAAAGTGGCCAAAACTTCAGCTTTTAGTCTTGTCTGAAAAACAGAACCTGTAGAGTCCTAATGCTCCATTACATCAGGCTGGTTCAATAGGTCAAAACACCCTATTGAATCACAAATACCACTTCTGCAGTGTCCTAATTTTTTTCTAGTAGCTTTCACTTTCTAGTACTGACGGGTGCTTGCTCTGCTTGGCCTTCAGAATAACAGCCCACCGCAGCATGGTGACCCTTTCTCTTACGCTGGCAATGTTTCCCTGCTCGTTGCAACCACTAGGTCAGCAACCACTAGGTTATATTTCATTGGAATGTTTTTGTTTCCAGGTTGATTGTGGTGCTGATGAGTGTTTGGATTATCTGTCATTAAACAACTGTTTCCTTGAAGGTAACTTCCCTGCATCTAGATTAATCTAGACCTGTTCCCAGTTGCCAGTGGGATCTCCAGTTTCACAGGGCAGTCTGAAACAAATTCAGTAAATTACCCCAAAAGCAGGAGTCCTCAGTGGGACGGTTCAGCAAACCATGCAAACACCACATTGCGTACTGGGTCTTGGTGAGGTAATTAAAGTAGTGATTATAATCACTGGCAGGAGTGCTGGCTTCTGCTATCACAGTGCAACCCTGATGCTATCCCGTACAGTGCTAATATCACCAAGGTCACCAAATGTTCCCCATTTCCCACTGGCCTGTGTGTTTGCTCCCACTTTGAGCCGTCATCTGATTATAATCAAAGAGAACTGACAGAGATAAAGACATTCTCCTCATCACAGAATATGTCTGAAAAGAAAAGTAACTTTTTCCTAAAAAATTCCTGTGGAATACCAGAGGCAAAATAGAAAAGAAAAAAAAATTAAAGAAAGCCTTACAAATGTAAGTAGATGTAAGTGAAAGGACACAATCATTGGACTTTACCAGATCAAGCAGGAAGATTGGAAGTAAACCCATTCACCATTGAAGCATGTCCATCTGTCTATAAAAAAACAAACTTTTCCTAATCCTCAGTTGTAGTGATGGAAAGACTTTGGGGTGGTTGCTGAAGAGAAAGATGTCTTTTTCTTTTGGTATTTCTTTTAATTAAATTTCAGTTTTTGCAAGAATAGCACAGAAGTCTGATACGCTAATAACAGAATATCCATACCCATTCCCAATAGCAGACTCCTCCAGTACTGAATCGGGAGAATAAAGGTCTTTTAATTAAATACTGTTGTATTCTCATTTCATTCTCCAAACTTGATCTGTGAAACATTTTCTGTTGTGCTGTGATGCCCAGATCTCTATATCTATTCCAGGAGATAGAGGTTAGACAGATTTATCTGTGGAGGATTAGACAGTATTCAGAATAGCTTCAAAGTATAGATTCATAGGTTTTAAGGCCAGAAGGGACCACTCTGATCAACTAGTTTGACTTCCTGTATTACACAGGCCGAGGAATTTTCCTCAAGTGATTCTTCCATCAAGCCCATAACTTCTGGTGGAGTTAGACTATACTTCTTAGAAAGTCCACTCAGTCTTGATTTTGAGAACTTCAAGTGACAGAATCCATTACATCCATAGGTAAATTGTTGCAGTGCTTCTTAACCCGCACTGTGAAAAATGTGCACCTTATTTCTAGACTGAATTTGTTTAGCTTCAGCTTCCAGCCATTGGAACTTGTTATGCCTTTGTCTGCTAAATGTAAAGCCCTCTACTGTGTGAAGAGGGATTGAATATGGCAGGAGAAGTGAGTAATGGTAGAAGACACCATTCATACCATTACCTTCTGTGCTGCAGAAGTTTGAGATTAGTGTCCCTCTCCTTGTCCTTCTGCCTTATTTTTAGAAAATATAATTAGACTGGGAGCAAGGAAAAGAAATGGCCCTCTTAAAACTTAAGCATATAAAAATAAAAATAAGTTCTAATTTCCCAACATACTTCTAATGCTTTCGGATTGAGGCTGCTGCATTTTTTTTTGAGATAAAGCAATGAAATATTGAGCAAACTCAGCCATTTGATTGGTGGAATGCTCTTGGGCACCATTCGATTCTATGGCCCTCATTCAGCAAGGTGCTCAAGCACAGGTCTAATTTTAAGCTTCAGTTGAATTACTCCTGCTTCAAGTTAGGTCCGCTCTTAACTGTCTTGCTGAATTGGGGCCTTCAGCGTATACAAAGAGATCTTTGTTTACTATTTGCCTCATTCCTGAATAATAAAAATCCTCCTCCAACAAATTGTTGCTGTAAGGCTTGTATCCAGCAGTAAAAATGTCTTTCTCCCACTGCTTTGGCTCATCACAAAGCATAAATACTAAAAATGAAAGTAATTTCACCTCATTGTGCAGATGTCTGCAGTTTTTAAAAGGATGTTGCCAGGCTGAAATATAAATTAAAACAGAACGAACAGCAAAATTGCTTGCCTGACTTGCTCTCTTTTAGAATATTAAAGCATAAAGAATTTTTTTTTAAAAACTTCATTTTCTTTCCCCTATTTATGCTGTCTGTTTGCTTTTCTCCAGGGTGAGACAGTGAAACAGGATTAGTTAATTTCACCTTTGTTTTTAATCAGTTTTATGCCCTGGTCCTCCTGCACCATGTTAAATTGGAAACATGATAGGGAAATGCAGGGCTGGATTAAGGCAATCCAGGGCCGTAGACACACTGTGACTTGTGACTCCACCCTTGTAGCCTTGCCCTTGTGCCATGGTGGTGGCAGGTGGGCCCCCTCCTCTGCAGGCAGTGGCAGTGGCATGAGGCCCCTTCTTTCCCTTCAGGGGCAGCATCAACATTCCTCCATTCAGAGAGGAAGGGGTTGCAGCAGCCCCACCTCCATGTACACACCTCAGGGATGTATCTGCTTGGATGGGTGACTGGATTCGCTGCACTTTTCTCCTTCTGCCTCACACACAGTCCTCTGCTGGGGTGGTGTTGACTGGGTCTCACCGAGTGGCACGTCTTGGAGTTAACATTCCATTGAGATGCCTGGGGAAGTTCACACCTTTCAGGCCATCTGCAGACTCAGGCAGACATCACTGAATTGGTTACATCTGGGCCACACTTTTCAAACTTTTCTTTATAACTCTGAGGATTAGAAACTTACTAATGAAAGCTGTGGTTTTGATGTAATAATCATGTGGCTCCAGGATGCAGATGACTAGGGCTACAGTGTCTATGGCTTAATCTGGCCCTAGAGAGAAATCTTTAAAATCAAACAAAAACTTACACTGAATAAAAAACATTTCTATTAATATTAGATTTGTATGTACTTTTAAACAATCCCCCTCCGATTTTGTGCCTAAGGTGCTGGGCAATGTTAATCCAATGTTGCATTATATTTTCACAGCAGTGAACGTTTATTGCCTTCTTGCCTTCCTGACTCTTCACAAGAGTTTTCATTTGTCCAGCACTTTGTTTCAAGTGCTGACGTATCATTTTTATGCCTGGAAGTGACCTCATAAAGTGATGATGTCAAATAGAAAATTCCATTCTTTTCTATATAGAGTATTTCTGTTCTCTGTGCTTGGCCTTGTGCACGCTGAGTTACTTAAGGGAATACATAATGACCACCTAGATCTCTTAAACGAAATAATCTGAAAGTGTGAGTATGGAGCCTACAGAATCTTTTCATCAGAGACGACTTGTGTCGAACTTGGTTGTTGAAAATTTTAAATCCTCGTCTGATGCTGACGTGAAACACACTCTGTTCTGGCGATTCAGGTAAGTACTTGACCAAGTCCTTTTAAATATGTATTTAGGGTTTGATCTACAAAGAAGTTACCATGAGTCAGATTCATCCTCCATATAACTCTAATGTCACTGGCTGGAGCTACCAAGTGATGAATTTGACCATTATTTCTTTATGTATTAAACTAAAGGCAAGGGATTTTTGCTTTCTGTTTGACTAAACCTCGGTGATTATATCAGTAAGAGTTTAATGAGGGAGACTGTTCATAAACATGCATTTAAATTAAATACCAAACAATTTTTGCCCTAGTGCCTTTAAATTAATTGATAATAAGACTGGGCATCTGCTCATCTGGATATCCTGGGAAAAGAATGGGAATTTCTTTGTTGTCTTGGAACTTTCTGAAAAATACTGGGAGCTTCTCAGTGATTCTGGATTAAAATAAAAAATTACCACTGAACATGCAAATCTATTTTTAACTCATTGTAGATTTCACAATGATTAATTACCCCTGAAGGGAAAGGGCTGTCTTCTTTGCTAATTCCATTTGTAATCAGTATTAGGGGATGTTTAAAGGGGAGGGGGAGAAATCCACCTTGTCCCTGACCTTGCTCTCTTTGAAGTCATTGGGAAGGAGAATCAGCCTGTTGTTTGCCAGACTCTTAATGGTCCTAGAATTTACCCTATTTTTTGTCCCTTAAATTGTTTGATAGGAGACGGGACACTGAATTTTGTGCATATATACGCAGATTACTGCAGAATCCCCTGTTCAACTCAATCATGATAAGCATCATCTCACTCAATGCAGTGTTCTTGGCCTTGGAAACTGATTATGCTATTAAGCTTAATTCTTATGCATATCTGGAGGTAAGGAGCTGGGCAATGGAATGGGTAGTAAGTTCTCCTTTCATTTCACTAGCATCTGCTGATGATGTAGCAAGTTTAAGTGTTTTTTTTTTCTATCCATGAATAATTGAGTAGTAAAGTGAAACAAACATGGGAGCCTGCATTACAGAAACCAATATGTGTCCACTTTTCCATGTGCAAAGCACACCAGTATCAGCAGACATTGGGCCAGATCCTCAGCTGATGTAAACTGATGTAGCTCCATTGACACTAGTTTGCATCAGCTGTGCATCTGGTCCAAGGTGCACTGTAAGAAAGATCGTAGAAAGATTAACTCTAAAGCAACATCACTGAGATGCTCTGATTGATGCCAGCTGGAACTGGCCCCTCCTCACTATTCCCCTACCTCAGGGTCGCTTTATTGTTCTCTGGCCTAACCCCATTCTTGTCCCTGGACTGCCCATATCTTTATGCCCATAATGGCTGGCTATGCTGGTTTTACACCACTGGGGCATTTGACTACATCAGGCAACTTTGTGTCTCCTTTGTGCTGCTGGAGTGACACCCAGGGCATTACTCAGGGCTGAGGCTCTGCCCCCAAAGGTTTAAATAAAAAAGTCAATCTTATTTTATTTTCTAAAATTAAATAAATGAATAAACACAGTGGTTGAAGCCCCGTTCCAGCGACTAACCCTACAGTAACACTTTGGTGGGTGTGACTCTGCCCTGGTGAGTACCCTAGTGTGGCTCTAATGGGGATGGGGCTAGAGCCAGAAAACCCGAGTCAGTGTCAAGTTTCACAACCATTGATTATTACTAAATTATTTTTTAAAATACCATGACAGTGTCCTTTTAGTTGTCACCAGTATTTTTTTAAACCTTAAGAAGTTAACACCACTAACTTGAGCTCATATTTTCAATATTCAGTTTTCATACAGAAAAATACTTATCTCCAAAGCACACCTTAATTTTCTTGTCTTACACAAGTCAGCTACTCTAGACAAATCTCTGAATCTTTATAATATATCCCAGTAATGTGGAAACCAAAAGACAGGCCTGGCTAATGTCAAGAAGTCCATTCCCATCTTGGAAAGTTTTAGAAAACTCCACTTCCAGAAGTAGACCCTGCTCAGGGAAAGGGAGGATGCATCATCTAGAGGTTAGAATAGGAGATGAGGTATCAGGAGACTTCAGGTTCTATCCTTGGCTCTGCCACTGACCTGGGCCAAAACACAACCTCCCCGTGCCTCAGTTTCCCCATTTGTACGATATCCTGTGAAGGGATAATACAACTCTCAATAGCAGATAAAAATGGTTTTATGATTAATGACATATTTGGCATTTGCCTGACTCCCTTAAATAAACATCCTCATTCCTCTTCAAGATCAGTTTGCATTCTTGATGACACTCATGAAGTGTGAGGTGGAGTTATATTATCAAGTTTGACTGGCTCACCCTGGCCCTCTGCATGAGGCAGTAGATAGGTCTCACTCAGGGAATTGTCTTATTTTGTTCTGTCAGTTTTAATAGTGTATTAGCAATTGTTCTCATTTCAAGTTAGTATTGCTCTGGGACCTGTTAGCCAACCCAATTGTTTAGACAAGCAAGAACTAGCCTAAGAATTAACTCAGAAGAGGAGGGAGCATAATGGTCCACAAATACATTGGGTGCCATTATAAAAGTGGTATTTACTGCCCTGTGGTATTTATGGTATTCCCTGCACTTGGAATGGTAAATTTAACTGTGGTAAATGTCCAGTTTCTAGTGTGCTCAGCGTATTTGAAGAGTGAAAACACCAAGGATGGAGAGGAATTCTGCAGAGTGGTACATGGCAATACAATTAAGACTTAGGGTATGTCTACACCCAGCCGCTAGTTTGGCGGCTGGGAATCGAAGTTCTGGGTTCGACTTATCGCGTCTTGTCTGGACGCGATAAGTCGAACCAGGAAGTGATCGCCGTTGACTGCGGTACTCCAGCTATACGAGAGGAGTACCGCGGCGTCGACGGGGGAGCCTGCCTGCCGCGTGTGGACCGAGGTAAGTTCGAACTAAGGTACTTCGACTTCAGCTACGTTATTCACGTAGCTGAAGTTGCGTACCTTAGTTCGAATTGGGGGGTAAGTGTAGACCAGGCCTTATTCTGGGTGGAACATGGCAGTGTAACTAGGAATATTGGGGTGAAATTTAAACTGTTAGGGAAAACTCCGATTGCCCAAGAATGTGGCTCCATGTTATTTTAGGACATTTAAATGAGAGTGGATGAAACACTAGCAGGTGCCCTGGAAGGAGCAGCCTTGTGATGGCAGGAAGAACTAAACGGCTTGACTTTATTTGCATCCCTGTGTATCTAAGAGTAGGATAGAGCTGTTGGTTAATCTAATTCGGGGTTTAACAGGAACAACCGAAGGCTCTTTTCTTTTGTAATCAAAGCCTTCCCTCCCCCGCCCCCGCAATGACATGTTCATGACTCATATTGTTTTCTTTTCAGCTGGCCGATCTGATTATTATATCCATCTACACCACAGAGATTTTGCTGAAGTTTTATGTGGATCCCTTGAATTACTGGAGGAGTGGCTATAACCTGTTTGATGTTCTCATACTTCTCATTGCTTGCCTCCCATATACCATTGACAAAAATGACATCAAACACTACAGAACATGGGACATAATTAATGGTTTCCAGGCACTCAAGATTCTGAAGCTTATCTCCTACAGCAGAGGCATGAGGGTAAATTGATTATCTATAATTACCGTGGAAACACACTTCTGATTTTTGTATCCAGGCCATTACAACTGCACTTGTAAGCAATCATGGGATAAGAGGGAAGGTTCTCTCATGGATTGGTAACTGGTTAAAAGACAGGAAACAAAGGGTAGGAATAAATGGTCAGTTTTCAGAATGGAGAGAGGTAAATAGTGGTGTTCCACAGGGGTCTGTGCTGGGCCCAGTCCTATTCAACATATTCATAAATGATCTGGAAAAAGGGGTCAACAGTGAGGTGGCAAAATTTGCAGATGATACAAAACTACTCAAGATAGTTAAGTCCCAGACAGACTGCGAAGAGTTACAAAAGGATCTCTCAAAACTGGGTGACTGGACAACAAAATGTCAGATGAAATTCAGTGTTGATAAATGCAAAGTAATTCACCTTGGAAAACATAATCCCAACTATACATATAAAATGATGGGGTCTAAATTAGCTGTTACCACTCAAGAAAGAGATCTTGGAGTCATTGTGGATAGTTCTCTGAAAACATCCACTCACTGTGCAGCGGCAGTCAAAAAAGCAAACAGAATGATGGGAATCATTAAGAAAGGGATAGATAATAAGACCGAAAATATCATATTGCCTCTATATAAATCGATGGTACACCCACATCCTTGAATACTGCATGCAGATGTGGTTGCCCCTGCTCAAAAAAGATATATTGGACTTGGAAAAGGTTCAGAAAGGGGCAACAAAAATGATTAGGGGCATGGAACTGCTGCCATATGAGGTGAGATTAATAAGACTGGGACTTTTGAGCTTGGAAAAGAGATGACTAAGGGGGGACACGATAGAGGTCTATAAAATCATGACTGGTGTGGAGAAAATAAATAAGGAAGTGTTATTTACTCGTCATTTTTTTCACACAACTCAGAGTCAAACTTTGGTGCCAGAGGATGTTGTGAAGGCCAAGACTATAACAGGGTTAAAAAAAGAACTAGATAAATTCATGAAGGATAGGTCCATCAATGGCTATTAGCTAGGATGGGCAGGGATGGTGGCCGTAGCCTTGGTTTGCCAGAAGCTGGGAATGGGCGACAGGGGATGGATCACTTGATGATTATGTGTTCTGTTCATTCCCTTTGGGGCACCTGGCACTGGCCACTGTCGGAAGACAGGATACTGGGCTAGATGGACCTTTGGTCTGACCCAGTATGGCCGTTCTAATGTTCACTTTCCTTTCTTTTGACTTAAGGTTTTTGTTTTCCAACATTTTTGTTGCTCTTTGGATCACATTCACCATAAATAACTGATGAGGGAACAGCATAGGAAGAGCGGTCCATCATGCAGAAGGCCTAGGTTCCGTTACCTAGCCTAGGTTGCTTTTTAATCCTAATTTCTGAAATGGCGCTGAACATGAATTATCCTGGGCGACTTGTGCAACTAAACTGTGTTCTGTATCAGTTGAGCTGCAGCCATCGCTGGTACCTGCTGTCAAAAGCAGGTAATTTTCTTAGTGTAGACAAGGCTTCATTGCCCGGAGCAGCGGGCAATGCTTAGGGAAGCATGCTCAGGGAGTGGTTGACGTTGCTCCATAAGGAGCCCAATCCAGTATTTTGGTCATTGTGATTTGTAATTATCCCCCCTCCTCTTAAATTTAGTGGAGTTTTCAGCAGAGGCTCTGCAGCCTTCTGACAGCTTTCCATAGAATGCTAAAAGGGCAATGAAAGGGTCACTGCACTCGTTATTTAACAAAGGCAGGATAAACTGATGAGAGAGCGTCCGCACACAAAGTCACACTAGTTTAAGTAAATCGATGCAACTTTAGGTGTCGAGTAGGGCTTGGTCTCTAGTTAAAATGTAAACCGGCATAGCTGTGTCAGTCAGGGGTGTGAAAAACCAAAACCCCCTGACCAACAAACACAGCTATGGTGACAGAAGTGTGCTTGTGTAAACATAACTAACATCATTTGGGAAGGTGACATTCCTATTCGCACAGAAAAACTCCTTCTGTTGGTGCATGCTGCATCTACATTAGGGGACTCTGCCGGCCTAGGCTTTTGTAGCGTAGAGCTAGCCTAGGTCTCAGTGATATGCTAATCCAATGCCTGTGACGTTGTACTGGAAGTAAATGCAGGATTATGGCACCACCAAATGAATCAGGCAGGAGTCTGAAGCGATTGTGGCTGCTTACAAAGGAGACAGCCTGTGTTTGTATAAACTTCCCAGGTTAAGATGCACTCCTCTGCTTTGCTGCCGAGGGAGTGGGATAGAAGAATGAATCAGGACCGTCAGGAGAACTTCAGTGGAGCCTGAACAGACCACCTTCTTCGGGAGCCACTTGTCTAAAGAACCCCCTCCAAAGTAGCTTGATGAGAACTGAGTACAATGCAGCCCTAACAATTAGAAAAATCACCTATGGAATGCAAGCAATTTTTGTTAGTCCCTTGAGTGATCATGGGTTTCACTGAATTTTGTTGTAATATAACTAACCCCTTTAGCGGCTATAGTTTGTGCCGCAGCATAGAGGTAGCTGTAACATTTGCAGTGTTCTCTGTATGTTAACAGTGTGTGCTGAGCCTTCTGGAATGATGTTGGTTGTTTCTTAAGTATGGTGCGGGGAGCTGAAGAAATTTAATATTTTTGAGTTTTATAAAGTCCACAGCATGAACGTTATTTGCTTTCTGCTTCTCCCATGTTCAGGAGAGATTTTCCTTTCCATTTTCATTTTACCACAGTGCTATGACTGGGAAAAAATAGCTATTAAAAAATAAGTCATACATGCTATTTTAAACCATGAGTTTTTCTCTCAAGCACACCATTTCTTACTTAGTTTTCTCCGGACAACCCTGGAGGTTTATTTTTTAGTAGGGAGTTAATGCGGGTAGTGACTGCTCAGCCTGCATCTCTGCATGTAATTAATTGGTTGGGTAGCCCACCAGAAGTGGAACATTTATGAGCATAAGGCTCTTATAATGTTCACTTCTGAGCCTTCCTTCCTCTAGTTTGGATAGTAAACTTCAGTGATTGCCAGACTTTTACATGTTAATTATTCACTGTAGCTGGAAGAGGGGACAAAATTGAGGTATGTGAAATAATGAGTGTGTCAGGTGCTGCTATTTATCCTTTCTGATAATACTAGACCAGTGGTTCTCAAACTTTTGTACTGGAGAACCCTTTCACTTAGCAAGCCTCTGAGTGCAACCCCACTTATAAATTAAAAACACAGTTTTATATATTTAACACCATTATAAATGCTGGAGGCAAAGCGGGGTTTGGGGTGGAGGCTGACAGCTCGTGACCCCCCATGTAATAACCTCACGACCCCCTGAGGGGTCCTGACCCCCAGTCTGAGAACCCCTGTACTAGAGCAAGGAGAGACACAGCAAAATGAACAGACATTTACATTTTCTAAAAGCTTTTTTTTAAACAACGGTGGATGATTAACTTGTGGAACTCATTGCCACTGGATAGGAGTGAGTCCAAGGTCTTACCAAGGTTTTAAAAAAATAAACTAAAATAATGTAAGGTAAAATTGGGCATCTAACTCACATTAGGCACCTAATCTGATTAGGCCCTTTTGAAACTCCCACTAGACACCTATTTGCAACTTTGGGAGCTTAAATATCTTTGTAAATCTTGCCCTTAGGAGCCTAAGATTTATTGAAAGTCAATGGGACTTAAGTTCCTATGTCTCTTAAGTACTTTTGAAAATTTACTCTTGGGCATTTCTATGGATAAGAACATCCAGGGAATAGGATAAAAATGGATAAGGGCTGTAAATCCTCATGCTTCAGGGTATAAGCCTGCCACTTCCTATTCCAAGGCAATTAGAAAGATCCTTAATGAGCAAGTTATCCTGTAATTATCCATCATGATGTTTCTTGCATCCTCCTCTGAAGTATTTGGTACAGGCTGATACTGGAGACAGGTTACTCAATGGACAATTGCTCTGATCCAGTCTGGCATTTCTTGTGTTCTTAGTGACCGAAACTCTCTGCTAAAAGACATTCTTTGTAAAATATGTTACAATCTGCCCCAGTGAGCTTTGCTGAAGGGGTGGGAGGTTGTTTGTATGTGTATTATAATGAATTAATTGAAGTCTATATTAGCCTTTCACTGGGGAAACTGTATTTAATGCTGAAAACTCAAACATGTACCACATTCTTGGCACACGTCCCTTTATTAATTAAAAAACTCTTTAAAACACACTGCCTTACACCTTGGGGCAATAAATTTCCACCTCGAGGAAATAATTTCCTTGCTGTATTCCATACAGAGCAGTTCTGTTAGCTGTGATCCCAGTCGTCATGTAGGCTCCATTTATCCTTATTTCAATTTGAAAATAAACTTTTTAAATGCCAGGTTGTTCCAAAAATCAACTTTTCTGCTTTTTTTAAAATGTATTTGGGATTAATTTCAGCATATTTACAGTTTAGGAAGACCATGAGCCCACAAAGCTGCGTCTTAATAGCAGAAGCACAGAGGACCTGTTATGGATTTCTGGAGGTGTACAGGAACCTCAGGATGTGCCATAGAAACTGAAAATTATTTGATGCTTCTATACAAGGGGCACTTGCTAGACTGCAATCACCAATGGCATTTTATGGCTCTCTTGTTACCTTCAGCTGTAGGTGATTGTCGTTTTTTAGGATCAAGTGCACAACCCGCATTTGCTGAACACCATGACATACCTTGGTAAAAATGTCATATGTTTTTTTGTGTAAATGGCTTTTGTTCCTACTCCCAGACACAGATACAAGAATAAAATTAGGCATTGAGTGCTTGGGACAATCAGGATTCAGGTGATGGCTAGGTTTCCGTGGACAAAAGATGAAGGTGACCAGTGTGGGTTACATTAGAAGAAGCAGTGTCTGTACCCAGATTTCTGAAATGTGTCATGCTTTATGTCTGTTGTTAGCAGCACTCTACAAAGTGTTCCTTCCTGAAAGAAAGGGCGCTCAGCGTCTATGTTCTGTAGCCACAAGATGTTGACATGATTTCACGCACCTAAGCAGCT